GGGCTTTAAAGTTGTAAAGTTGGAATCATAAAGCAAGTCTGCAAACAACACATCTCTATAAAATCATCCTGCTGAATAACAGACCTTCATATAGCTTTCACCACACAGCTTATGCACTACGTGCTGGAATTTACTGGGAACTGAGAAAATACTGGGAACCGTACTTGTAAGTATGGGAAGAGTGGGAGAGATGCCTAAATTAATGGGTGGCACCTGTCCTTGCAGAAGATGGAAACAAGCTGCCTAAGCAAGCAGCAATGCAGGATAGTGACAGAAACTCATCCGAATACCAATTTTCCCAACAGGATGGATAGGAGCTGTTACCCTAGGGCTTCTTAAGGGCACCACACTGGGAATGCTGGTTCACACAACGGTCAACGGTCCACCCAGAGAAGCCTTAAGGGCACTATTGTCACCCCATAGCAATAAAGGGCTTTTAGGTGCAACCTTGAAGGGCCTTTCCAAACTTCTTTTGGAGAAAAAAGCTGTTCCGAGAGATCGGCACCATCTCTACTCACAGGGTTGTACTGCAGGGCAGAAACGTAGGCCTGCACTGCCCCTTCCATGTCTCCTGCAGCTACCAAAGCAGCAGCGAGGTTAATGTATCCATCAATGAAGTCTGGCTTGAGGCGAAGAGCGTGCCGGTAGTGTTCGATGGCCTCCTGCAGCTGCCCACGTTCCTTGTACACATTTCCCAGATTGGAGTAAGCTTCTGCCAACAAGGGATTCTGCTTGATCGCCAAAGTGCTGAAGTGAGCAGACCTGGAGAAGACAAAGTAAAGGTTTAAGGTGCCTTTATCAAAGTAGCAATTATTCACTGGATCTTGACAGTTTAAGAACTATCACCAGAATCCAAGTTCAACATTTGGGAAGGTCATTTTAATTGTGGATAAAAAAATGCCTGCAACGAACTGCCACTCATTAGAGCACCTCTGCCCGTTTTTTTTTGAGCCAATCGGGTAGCTGTGACAGGCTGCATACATTCACTTCTTCCACGGAAGCCAATTTTAATCTTATTGCTTCCAGTGAGCGCTGGAGATGGGCAGAGAAGCTGGGTTTCCACTTAGAGCATCCTGCTAAGAGAACAATGAGCAAAAGCTACCTTAATCTAGAGCACATTATCTTGTCTCCTCCTCAACAATTACTGCAGTAGCAGCAGCAGCAATCATAATCTCGGCCTGAAGAACCAGGGACTGCTGATACATGGATGTATCTTTTGTTATGTTTTGCATAACAAATACCAAAAAAATTAATAAGACAAACACAGAAAACTTCTGTCACACAAATGGTATTTTTCAGAACAATGAGACCTCTTCACACACACACACACACACACAAAAGCTGATGTGCCATCTAACATGATGCACTTTTTAATACTGTATTGTTTTGGGATTCCTGAGAAGCGGCTGGTTCAGAAACATTCTTTCAGTTCAACACTTCTTGTTGTTTCCCAAGTTCTGTCATGTTACCAGAAACTTTAGTTGAGAATAGGATGTTCTTGCAATGGGGCTTCCTGCTTATTTAGTATATTCAGAAATGTTCCATCAAATTTAAACAATGCAGAAAACTTTTAGTTGAGTGGAGAGCATCAGAGTGCCATCCCAGTGCCCAGAGCCTGTCTTTCCAAGCAGCACCCTAAGCAATGAGCAGAAAGGCACCAGCTTCCTTACCTGTCCAGTCTGCGGCACTGGAAGTGAATGGAAGAGAGCAGTAAGAGCACCCCCGTGTTGTCAGGTTCTTGGCGCCAAAGTTGCATGCAGTGCCTCTCGGCTGCTTCAAAATCTCCTGCTTGATACTCCCGGTGAGCCAACTCCGCTAACCCTTGGAAGGAAAGCATACGTTTCGTTGGTTCTGAAGAATCACCAAAACATTCGGGGTGGGGGGGGGGGGGAGGAAAACAAAAAGTTAGAAAATGGATAAACAATGAATAATAAAAATGGATAAACAATGGTATACAAATTAAAGATGAAATGCCAACATCTAAGGGGTATTTGATGATTAAAGACAGAGACATATGACTTCCTAATTTAATGGTGAATGATGGTAATTGTCAAGTTTCAAAGAAGTCAATTTTTTTTCTTGACTAATTACTTGCCCTCCCCCAATTTTAGCATCTTCAGCTTTACCTCAGCCGTGACCCAGACTATCTGTTTTAGGCTCCGTGGCAATCTTTCAGAGACACACTTTTTTTAAACAGGCCAATGTTAGGAATATACCACCATTCAACACAAGTCTTAATGTTAAAATCAAAATGTTCCAGGTAAGAAAATAAAAACATGATTCCATGCAATGAAATGATCGCATACAGTAGGTATTGTTATCTGTCAAATAAACTTAACATTGCTGAGAAGACCTCCAAGACTTTGTTCAGAGAAAGCTATAGACCATTGGTTTTCCTGTGTTCATCGTCTGTTGTCAGCTCCAGAGCAATATTTTCTCCCCAATAAAATCATGAAAGGGGAGATCATGAAACTCAACATTTGCTGGACTAGGAATCAGATTTTTCTAATACCCTTGAAAATTAAAACACTGAATGAAACAATGCCTAAAATTAATTCAAGTCAAATAAACTGTTATGGATTAAAATGAATTATTTATCACAAACTACAGTATTACAAATAGTAAATAAGCCAACTAGTAGTTTGATGAGAAGCTGAACTCAAAGATGTTATCTTCAGAGAAGAAAAGGAAGATTTGCACCAGCTTTGCAAAAAGCCTCATAAAAACTTGCACAACACTTCTCTGTAATATTCCATCAAGATGGTAAATAAGGAAATAAGTCACGGAATCAGAATGCCCACACTTAAAAATAAAGCAATTTCAACAGCATAATATCTTTATTTTTTTAAAAAACAACACTTTTTTTTAAAAAAAGCTGATTATCATAAACCTCAAGGGACTAGAAGCTGCCTAATACTGGGGCCCACAGAGAAATTGTACAGCAGAGACCAATTCTTTTCCTTTTAGCTGTTTTTCATCTGAACAATTTGTAACCTTCCCAAAGTGATTTATTCCTCTACCACCTAGCATATAAATCATATCTGTAAAAGGCAGGTAAAAGTCATTTGCCCAAAATGTATTCAATAGCAAGAATTTCTTGGATAATTTTGAACTGTCTTCAACTCTTTAGCCACTTGAGAACCACCTCATACTATTATGTAATACAGCAGTAAGATTCTATTCATTAAAAATTCATCCAGAACCCTAGGAGGAAAACATCCATAGCATTTCATTTGCCTACAATAGTGAAATAGGAACTGAATACCAGCACCTCAAACACAAGGGTTATTCTTTATCCCCTTGCTATGCAAGCTAAATAAAACAAGTGTTATCAGAAAAAAAGATTATCATCGGGGGGGGGGGGGGGGGGCGGGGGGGAGAGAGCCACACCGCAAAGTGACGCTAATCTTTATACATGAATTAGGACATTTCCTTTACATTGTAGTTATGCTATTTGAAACGATCAAGCATGAAAAATTATACAGTATTCCATCACGTTCATTTGTGTGCACTATATTCCTACATGAATTTGTTTTGTAAGAAGCCAAACTTGCCCGAGAGCTTGCACGTCCCCTTATCTACGAGCCACATGTGGGCCCTAAGGAGGTCCCAGCCCCCGGGCCATACAGCCGCCGCCCTGGATAGGCAGCCCTGGGGCCATTGGGAACGAGAAGGGGGAGCCCCCGCGAGGACTCGCAGTTGACCGTCCTCTGGGAAGAAGAAAGCTTCTCCGACCGCCACTAAGGCACAGCCACCATTTTGTTGGGAAGGGAGCCCCAAAGGCACTTTTAGCTGCCCAGAGGCTGCCGGGGGCCGCTCCGGGGCGGCCGCAGAGCCAGAGGAAGCGCTCCTCCCGTCCAGCGCCGGGAAAACACCGCACGAACCAACTGCGCATGTGCACCCGGGGTCCCGCACCTGCCCCCCCCCTCCCCGAGGCCCCCCCCCGAAGCCCCCCCCCCCCCGCTTTGGAAAAGCCGGCGGCCCATCATCCCCGTCCTTCCGCGAGGCCATTGTCTGCGGCCAGGAGGTTTTCCTTGCTGCTGCTGCCCGAAGAGCCCCCACGTGCTCCTGCCGCACCTCGGGAAAAACGCCCGGGGTTGTCCCCCGGCCGAAGCATTCCCCTCACGCCGCCTCTGCTCCAGGCTCGGCGTTCCGGGCCTCTCGGCACCCCCGCAGTTCTCGGGGCAAGGACCCACCCCCGGCGCTCGTCGCCCCCCGCCTGGGCAGAGGCCTCCTCGGAACCGCCGCTGGCGCTGCGGAGCCCAGTCGACGCCCCAAGCCCGCGAATGGCGGGAGGCGCGGGGACAGGTACCTGTGCTGTCGGCCACGTTCCCCACGGATGCCGCCATGGCTCCGGCAACCGCCTCGCTGGCAATCGGCCCCGCTCCCTGCCGGTTCCCTCGCGCCTCCTCAGCCTGCGGCTCCCGAAATGGCGGCGGCGGCGGCGCGCAAGGAGACGACGCCTGAGGCAAGCGCCTCGCCGGATCTTCTTTCGCCTCCCCACGAAATAGCCCCTGGACTTCGGAGTGGGCGTGGGGGGGCAATGTCGTTCCCTCCCGCAAGGGCGAGATTTATGGGGAGCGCGCTGCGGGATCCGCGGCCTCCTGGGCCTCGCTCTTCCGACGGGCCCAAGTAGAAACGTAGTTCTCACGGAACCGTCTCCGTACTCCTCCGCCGGACGCTTCAATGCGCAGGGCGCATGCGCCTTAGCTGGTCGCCGAGCATTTCCCCCCTCCTTTACGAGGGGCGGGGTATCGGCAGACGGGAAGGAAAAGGGCGGGAATTCGACACAGCGAGGGGGAAGGGCGCCGCAAGAGGGCGGGGCTCTACCTCCCCACCCCTCAAATGGAGCGCAAAATGGCTGCTGCCTCTCCTCGACGGATGTGGAGGGGCAACGGTGCTGATCCCCCCCATCTCCTTCGTAGCTGGGTTCCCCCCGCCCCCTCCTCCATCCCCAGCACTGGGGAGCGTCATTTCCAAAAAACTGGAGGTCCCTTGGGGCGTTTCAGAGGTTTATTTACAGTTGGGGAAGAAGGTCCATCTCCTGCTCATCCCCCCCACAAATAATTTAGGGCCAGGGAAGCCCCTTTGGGTGGTGCCAGCCCATCAACCCCTCCCCCTTCCCAGGCCAGTGATGCCAGGGGTGCCAGCAGGGCACACACAGAGAAGTCCAGGGGTGTCCCCCCCCCTTCCCGGCCGGGGTCTCCTGGTCTTCAGAGGCCAGAGGGAGAGCAAGAGTCCAAGGCTGCTGCCTCCATGGCTGCCCATCCTCACTCGTCATAATCCAGGTCGCTGTCTCCCGCTATAGAGTGGAAGTCCTCGCTGTCGTCCTCGTCCTCCGATAGATGAACCTGGCTTAGCACGCTGGGGCCACATCGCTGCTCTTCCTCCTCTTCCTCCTCCTCCTCCTCTTCCGAGAGCTCGTACCCCCCCAGGCTGCTAAAACTGGCATCTCGCGTATTGGACTTCAGGCCTGGCTCCTCATAGCTACCGTAACTGGAAAAGAAGCAAGAAGGGTCCCTTGTCTGTCAAAGGAAGCCACACCGTTAGGATTCTGCTGCTGAAGGATGGGCTGGCCTCCTCACCTGGCGTTGCTGTCTTCCATGCCGCGAGAGGCCTCTCCTCCAGCTCCCTCATAGAACATCATGCTCTCCTCGTTGTCCATGCCCATCCGCGTGTTCTCTTGGAGGACATGAGGCTGCTTGGGCCGAACTGCGCTGGGCTCCACATCGGAATCGCTCCCGCTCTCACTGAGCTGAATAGCTAGGAGACACAAGCAAAGGGTCACTCCGATGCTGTGCCTCGTTTGCCAGCAACAGGTCCTCTTCCCCATCGCTTCCCCCAGGGCTTCCGGGACATTCACTTCCTCAGCACCATCTCACTAATTGACTGGCCTTCAAAATTGGCTAAACAACACCACCACCAAAAGAAAACAAAGACCTCAGCACAGTTGTGCATTTCCACAAAGGCGACCAGGCACACTGCCACTGAATCAACTTGAACCAAAAACATCAGGAAAAGATGGTAAATCATTGGAACCACTCCAATAAACAGGTTTGGTTCTTTTCACATTAAGTACTGTTTATATTATCGTTATCTTTATACACTTTACAGAGAGCATCAATTACTGGGTGGTATAAAAACATTAATGGTACATAAACAGAAGCATTTCCCTAATTGCTCCCATGTCCTATTCTTCTTCTTCCAACTCGCAGGTTCTGTGCCTTCATTTCTCACCACAGTATCAGAGACTCTCCCCTAAAAATCCCTGGAGGGCAGTGAAGCCTCTCTCCAAACTGATCTCACCCAAGGAAAACTTTTTATACTCAAATTGGCATCCCTCTCTGTCTCGCACTTAGCCTGCATTCTCTCCCCTCCCCAGTTCTACCCCAGGCTCAGATCCAACCCTGGTGAGAAACGGAGAGGAAGGGAGGATGCCTTCCTGGGTCTTTCTGTCTGGAACTAGGAGTATATACAGCAAACAAGGGCTCCATCGTTCCTGCCCTTTTCAGAACTCACACGAAAAGGGATTATCTCCCTCCTCATCGCTGCCGTCGTCGTCCTCCCCATCTGACATGAGCAAGTCTTCATAGAGCACACTGGCCTGAGGCTGCTGAACCGAGCCTTCCTCCTCATCAGCCAGGTCCCCATCAGCGTCCTCCACTTCCTGTCGTGGGAGAGTAGGAAGGAGAAGAGGAGGTCAGAAGCCGAAGCCCAGCAAAAGGACGCCTGGCTTCCTTCCCACTGACACAGTGCACCGGCAATGCCAGCTCTTCCTAAAAACTGATCGCTTTGGCTAGCATTCCATCCGCTACTGATAGAAACACTCCAGAGGGCCCTGCACTGCCTCAGCTTCTGCCATGAGAGCAGAAGCCAACAGGTGAGCTACAGGTGGGGTCACAGATACTCACTGGGGCTGGAGTCTTAGGTTTCCCATCCTCATCCTCATCCAACCCTTCAATATCTACGTCAGAGTCTTCCTCGCCCAGCCTACCTTGGCCCTGCCGCATCTGAGTGAGGAACACAGAGATAACGCCACTGAGGAAGGAGCAGGCACCGAGGGGACACAGACGCTTTTAAAGAAGGCCAGCCAAGCCACCAGGGTGGGGGCCACTTCCTGGCTGCCCCTGTTCTGCTGCCTGTGCTCTGTGGGGCTTTATCCTTTAGACTAGCTGAGCAGCAGGCCCCAAGCCCCAAAGCACACAGTGCGGGGCACCCTGGGAACCAGCTTTCTCCTCCCCAGCCTTGCAGGGGCCTAGAGACACAACTGCCTCCCTGGACTGGAAGAAACCAACCTTTTGCGGCAGCTGACAAAACCCCCATCCAAGTGGACTCCCACTAAAGCTCCCAAGGAACATGTCCTCCCCATTCTTTCTCAACTTTCTCTCTCTCCTTTCTCTACATCACATAGTTATGCCCAACACATTAAAAAAAAAACCATACCAGGAAAAACATGTTTGTCCCGGGTTCGCTAGGCTATATTATAAGGATTCAAGTGACCCTCTGCAATTCTGGCACGTGTATTTTCACACTTAAATGAAACCAGGAAAGGAGCAACGATCCGCCATTGCAAAAGTTTGTGGATGTTCAGAAATATTCCTCCCTTAATGTGAACTTGGAGCTCAAAGGCAAGGCATGAACGAAGTAACAATAATGGGGATTCCTCTCCTCTCTTATCAACAGGGCTGCGTCTCATTTCTTTTCCCGGCTGCTCCAAACAGAGGAATCCCTTTCAAAGGCTTTTCAAAGCAAAGAGATAGTTGCATCCGCCATGCCCAGAAACAATCATCTGATGAAACAAGGCCTTTTGCCAGGGATCTTTTCATACAGAGCTCTTGTTCCACACCTTTGACCAGGAAGGAGAAGGAAACCACTGCTCTTACTGTGCCATGCCCTATTTCAACAGGTCTGCCCTTGATCCGCAGCTCCTGTGGGAAAGCTACGCTTCCTTTTTGCAGCCAGCGCCCCCCTCTTTTCCTGCGGAATCCTTGGGTGCGTTTCTGACCTGTGCCGACTGCTTTTCGGGTGTTGTGGTGGGTGTGTCCATAGCAGACAGATTGCTCTCATCTTGGTAGACGGATGCATCCCGGGACATGCTGAGCGAGGTGTTGGTATCATACAAATCGGGTGGCTGCAGGGTGTTTGAAAGGAGGAAATGGGCATCACAGGGGTGCAGGTGAGATACGGAGCGAGCCCGCCCTTCCTTCTCTTAGCTATCCTGAATCAAGCATGCTGCCTGTGAGAGGCTGAAGCTCAGACCTCTGCGCATTGTTCCCATTGCTTCCTCCCTCTCAGGCTCATGGCACGAACAGTGGAAAGGACGTTCCCTCACTGACCCACGTTCTCACTAAAGGACAACCAGCGGGTCCTTTCTGCGTTCATTCCTATTGGTTATCTTTCACAGATCTGTTGGCCTTTTTCTATTTGGCTTCTGAAGCCTTGGCTGAAAAGAGTCTTTGAAACCAGGACAGCCTTTCGGTCTCTTGCCAAGCTCTCAGCAGCTGCATCATCTCAGATCCCCTTCTGGCTGGAGAAAGCACCGGGAGACCCCGGGAGACCCCAGTGGGCCAATATAATGGGCCTCCTACATGAGGGAGAGCCTGAGAAACAGTTTGGGTGGACAACCCTGGCAGGAACTCTGAAGGCAGGACAAGGAAGCAGGGAAACACCCGGAAGAACCACCAACGGAACTGGATCTCCTTGGAATGGAAAACTGCTCCGGGATCCCTCCCCCCTCCAGCTCAATCTCCCCCCCGCCCCCCGTCACAAGTCTCTTAAGGTCCGTCCTGGCTTTCCCTCCACCGAGCATTTCTTGTGCTATGAGTCGAGTCGAGCTGTTACACAGAGACCTCACCAGATCAAGAATAGCTGCAGCCCCAGCCCCACCCTCTCTGGTCACAAACAGGCTCACCTGCGGCGTATAGGGCCCAGGAGTCATGGGGTCCAAGCTCTCCAGATCAGCCTCCTCCAAAGCTGCCTCTTTGGCAGTCGAAATGTCTCTTTCAAGCTGAGTCAGGTGCTCATCATACTGAAGGAAGGAAGGTGAGGGAAAGAGGAACATTTGCAGGGCTTCCAAACTGAAAACAGCCTTCGACAGGTTCAGAGCAGGGGCCCTTACCTCCGCTAAGGTCTGGTAGCAGATGTTCACAATCTCCTGGGCTGTTTTGGTGTACTGGCTGTCCGGCCCTGCATTGAAAAGCCCAATCAAGGGAGCTCCAAACAAGAGGGAGAACTGACTTTCCAGGGCCAGGGAGCAGAGGCGGCTAGGCAACCCCTGCCAGCCAGCAAGGCCTCCTCCAACTCAGGGCTGGGCCCAGGAGGCAAAGGGGAGCCTGGCATCGGGAAACGGCCTAGTCTAGCCAGGCAAACCTTCGGGTGGGCCTAGAGCCCTGGTCCAAGGATGGCCTTATACTCTGGCCAAAGAAAGCTTACCATTGTATTTGATACTATTTCCAAGGATCAGGTTCACATCATCCAGGAAGACTTCTCGGTTCTGGTACTTGTGTTTGGAGATGTTCTGGAAGAAATCAGTGGAAGGCTCCAGACCCCAAGCGCCACGTCCAAAGGCCTCGGAGCCTCCTTAATTGCTCTGCTGTGGTTCCATTTCCCACCATCAGAGGCAAATCGCCCAGGAAGGTGTCGAGGACAGCCTCTCAGATGTTCAGGAGAGCAACCCTCACACCTCCTCCTGATCTACTTCGCATCCCCTCCCCGCCTGTTTTTGAACTTCAGATCCAGAGGGGCACCCAGGGTGGCTCTTGGCTTCAGCCACCGTCAAGGCTCTTCTTCCATGCACATGTACGTACCTTGCGGATAGTCTCCAGATCCATTGGGCTGACAATGACTTTGTAATAATCTGGCACAAATTTCTTATTCACAGGGTGATGGAAGGGCCAAGACTGAAAGCAAAGAGAACACCGACAAAGAAACTAAGAAGAGTTTCTGCAAAGCGTCCACTGAAAGCCAAAGGAATGCCTATTTCCCAACAAATCCCAGTTCCTGCTGTGCTAATCTCACCGAAAGGGAGGGAGGAGGAAAGCTCCAGAGCAAGAAGGGTGGTTTCTAGCTGCCCATCAAGGTTCGTAAAAACTAACATTGCAGCTCAGGAGAAAAGGCTGTTGAACTACCCCAAAGCAGAAGTGGGTCTCCTGGGAAGCAGCAGTTCTGCCCCCTGACACCTCCAAGAGCCCTCCCACCCCCAGCTCCCTTTCACCCCCTCCACCGCCTGCCATGGGCACACCTACATCAGGAACCACCTTCATCTTCTGGGTCACAATGTTGTCCAGAATAAAGGAGAAGGCTACTTGGTCATCATCGTCCAGAAGGGGATTTATGGCCTTCTCCAAACGAGCCAACTTATCTTCTTTCTGAAATGACATCAGGAAGGCAAGAGATATGGAGACCAATTCAGCTTCACTTTTTGTAATGTATTTAACCATCTAGACTTCAAATTTTCTTAATTCTGCTCTAGCTTTTCAACCTGTAGGCTTTCAAACACTGAAACGTCCCATTCATTATGGGAACCAAATTGCTGCTCAACTTTTCCAGAAATTTTGGCTGATTTTTCCATGCCCCAAAAGCGAATTTTTTACACACTCTCAATGGCACACAGTACACTTTTCATTTTTAATTGTGGGGATGCTTTTAAATTGAAAAACAAAACGCATGGCATTAAAATTTGCTGACTTCCAGCAAGATCAAGTTGGAGCATTCAATGTGCCATGTCTGTGCCCTCTGATCTCAAACAGGTACCCCAAGGATTGCCCCACTACCCTGAGCTCTTTGCCCAGAGTTCACCAGGTGAAATTCCCTCTGATCTGGAGGCAGCAAGGAGCAAACCTGCAGGTGTCTTTGTTAAAACCCTCATAATAGCACTTTGAAGCTTAAGGCTTCGGCTCAGAGGTCCATTCTTTCTCCCTTTGCACGAGACTTGCCTCTTTCAGTTTCTGGTCACAGAGGTCCAACATTGACTGAGAAATCTGGGTCAAGGAGTGCTTTGGCCCTGCAAACATAGAGCCGACGTAAGGCTGAGGCTTCTCCTGGGGCAGTTTCCTGTGCCCCAACCCTCTTCGCTTTGGTTACATTTCTAGTATTGTCATGGATAGCAACGATGTCTAGAGTATTCATAGTAGCAGAAAGAAAAGCAAATGAAAACCCGATAGTAAAACAGCAAGACTTCCTTTGTGAGGGTCTTATTGCACAGGAAAGAAAACTATAAATGTGTCAGCAAAATATAAATACTCGTACTCCACTGATAGCAAGAAAGATGAGCGGCTCTGGGGCCAAGAAGTGCGGAGGGCATTGATGGTTTTCCCCGGGGGGTCACAGAGGTAAAGCGCAATCCCCCTGCTCCATCGCCCCCTCCCTCACAGAACCTCTGGAAGAGCAGAGTCACAGGAACCACCAAGCAGCAACCTAATCAGCTTTAATTCGGGAACTGCCCGTTCAAGGCTGCAGGTGGCTATGCCAAAATTACTCCAGGGAAAGGAAGGGAAGGATTTCAACAACCCAGATGGCAAAATGACACCAGGGAAGAGGAGAGGAAGACCCTCAGGTCAAGAGGGGGAAAGCAAAAATTCCAGGAACTGAATTGGCTGGTCCGGAACAATTCCACACCAATCCTACGAGGAGGAGAGACGCTTCAGCAGATGTAAAGACAAAGAAAGAGCAATTTTCAGAAGGGAAGCTGTTGGCATCAGACACGCTGGTGAGTTAATTCTCAAATCCCCTTTTCTTTGCCATCCTCCACCCGCTCAGAATCACAGGAAAACGCAGGCCCTTCCTCGCCCAAGCCCAGGGTGAGTAAGTAAAGGTTAGGGAAAAAGGGTGCAGGGACCGTTGTAGGTGGCGCTGTTCTTCACAATCAGCTCCAGGTGTTCTCGAAACTCTTCGCGAGACGGGTAGAGTCGCCTGCGGACGTTCTCTCGGAGGGTCTGCAGGTCCATCGGTTTGGTGATGATCTTATAGTAATCCTTCACCACCTTCCCATTAACAGGCTGGTGAAAGGGGTACGTCTGGGTGGGGGGGAGGCAAACAGGAAGAGGTGAGTGCTTGTTCTGGGCCTACCCACTGACATTCTACCCCCCCTCCCCCAAGGGAGCCCGCACTCTTCCAAGCCAGCAGCCAAGCCCCCAAGAGACACAGCTTTACCACGCTAACAGCCACAATAAACCCTCATCTAGTCAGACCTGCCTTCTTCATAGTTTGAACTTAGAATTTAAACCTTTGATAAGAAACTTGGTACGTTATTTTTGCCTGTAAGAGCTAAAGCCAACCTATTCCAGGGAGAGCCCAGCCAAGCCTCCCTGTTAATTCAGCCGGCCAGATCAACCCCTGTGGCTCAGAGCGCTTACGTTGGGAAGATCCCGCATCTCATTGATGATGCTTTCCAGGACGGAAGACAAGGTCACCATGGGGTCTGTGCGTCGCCGGTGGATGGACTTGTGGGGCCGCTGAAACAGAGAGGAAGCGAGAACCCTCAACGGGGCTGCAGACTTCGCAGAGCGCGAGAAACAGCTTCTCTCCTTTTCCGGTCCGACTCTGCACCTTTTGCTCCTTTTGGCTGCTACACCACAAGGATTCGAATTTACCTGAAACTCCGTCGTTCCTTCTGTCATTATTATTCTACATTTACAACTTATCCCACATAGCGAGTAAATCTGCAAAATCGTCATCTGCATGGGCTTGGTGGTTTTGTTGCAGACGTTTCATTACCAAACTAGGTAACGTCATCAGTGCTGCAAGCACCTGACAGGACTCACAGGCACTGATGACGTTACCTAGTTTGGTAATGAAACGTCTGCAACAAAACCACCAAGTGCATCAAGGACCCCACAGTTCAACCCCGAGCAACAAATATTCCCCTTCTATCGAGGCAATGTGCATTTTTGAAAAAAACCGCATAAAACAACTCTAAATATTTACATAGGAGGACATACTATACTATACGGTCTATACAGGAAGAAACCGGAGGCACTTAGAAGGGCTTACGTTTAAGTAATCGCAATGCACCGTGGTCCCAACCCGCCGCTTCTTTTTGGGGGGAAGCTGCTGTTTGGGAAACTTCAGGACTAAGGACTTCCTGCGAACCTCGTCCGCACTGCGAAGAGATGCCAAGAGTGGGGCGAGCTGCAGCTCCGCCCTCTGGAAGGACTCCGCCCCCCCCTGGAGCGCTCTGATCCTGGCCGCCCAGCCAGCAGGTGCCAGACCCTGCAAACCCTGCTCCTTCGGCCATGATGCTGGGCGCCTTCACCCCCGCCACTCTCACCTCTCAATCAGCTGCTTCCCCAAGACGATCTTGGTCCCCTCCACTTTGATCAGCTCCTCGTTGTCGTTGGGGATGACGGTCTTCTCCAGCTCCTCCTCCTGCTCCTCTGTCATGGCCACCGGGTTGGAGGGGGGAGCATTCGTTTGGTAGTACAGAGGGCAGAACTTGTTGGTCCTCATGTGCCCAATGGCCCCACAGGCCCCACATTTCAACTGCAACGAAGGAGCAGAAGGCCACCCTGTATCAGGGATAGGGAGGAAGGCAGGGCAGGCCAAGCAGGGTGCAAACAAGGGCCAGGCTTGGTCCCAGAGTGGCCTGGCTCACCTTCAGGTCTGGGCGCTCCTTCATCTTCCGGGGCTTTTTCTCCGGGGGCCCCTTCAGCTTCTCCTTCTCCTGGTTCCGCTTGAGCCGCCGCAGCTGCTCTTGGATCCGGCGCCTCTCCTTCCGCATCTCCTCCCGGTGCTGCTCGTCGAAGAGCGCAAACTTCCGGCTGGAGGACCAAACAAGGCAGGCGGGTGAAGGCCAGGCTGGTCCCTGGCACACCTCCGAAGGAAGCAGTCTGCTTCCCACCCACCCCCCGGGCACAGCCAAACTCCAGCACCCTCTGCCAAGCCTTTGGGCCCCGTCCGGCCCCAAGAGGGAACGCCTCCCGGCAGCATCCAGGCCCCGCTTGATTTTGGGTTGGTTGGTCAAAGCTGGAGGGGCCTGAGGCTCAGCTTGGAGCCTCCTCAAGGCATGGCATGGCTGTGGCAGCTCAGCGCCCTCCCCTGCAAATGGGGCAGGTCTGGTCGCCCTCCCTCCCCCCGGGCTTCAGTCCCAGCCCTTCTCTTTCCCTGGCCCTTTTTCGCTTTAGAGCCAGCTCCCTGTTGACCTCTCTGCCCTGAAGGGCTCTGGCTTCCCCCCCTCTATTCCGAGTGGCCCTTGTTTCAAAAATGGCTGCCTCGGAGTAGAAGTGTTTGAAATAAACATTTCCATCTCAACCTCTGCTTCCCACAGCCAGAGATCAGTAGGCCCCGCTAATAGGTCGGGACCCTCCTCCAGAGGCCTTACATGAACTCGTCATCCTTGGTGGTCCGGATCCGGCTGTAGGCGTCGATGACCGAGGCCTTGCGGACAGTTTCACACCTCACGTACTCCTTCCCATCCTCGTCACGGAAAGTGCGATAGATTTTCAAGCGGCGACCGGTGGCTGAGGAGTTGAGGCTGGTCACGGAGGCCGTGTCGTCGTCTTTATGAGAACCACCCAGGTTGCCAGGCGTGGAAGCTGCCGGGGGGGGGGGGGGGGGGGGGGGGGGGGAGGAGTAAAATGGTGATTTCGCCACCTTCCCAGTGCAGAAGGCTGAACTGAGGGGGATCCTGAGTGGCCAGGATCGCATTTAACCCAGGCGAGGGAGGTCAGCCCGAAGGCAATGCCCCCCCCCCCCCCAAAAAAAAAAAAAAGAAACAGCAGCCCCTTCAATTGCTACGCCCATCCTATTTCTGGTGAAGTCCTCCCACCTATGGCCACAACTACAACCATTTCTAAAGTCTGCCTGTTTGCGTCTTGCAAGCACTCTGGTCCCTCAATTCTGGGGGCTTCCTGTGGACCCCCCCTCGGCCCGAGCCAGGAAGCCCCTTTCCCCGCCACCCCCAAGTCTCCTCTCGACGCCTCCCTTTCGCCCTGCGGGGGCCAGATCCTCACCCGCCCCCTTCTTGTCCCTGCGGTCCTTCCTGGCCCGGTCGTTTCCGCTGTCTTCCCCCATCAGCATCCGCTGCAGCTCCTTCCTTTCCTGCTCCTCCCTCTCCCGGGACAGCTGGGAGCTGGTCTTCTTGTTCTGGAGCATGTTCTCGATGTTCTTCCCCATCTCCTCAAAGTCGCTGTCTTCGGCAGAGCTGCTGTCTGTGTCTGTCGACAGGATCTCGGTGGACTCCAGGACCCTGAAGCGGGAAATCTCTGCCCCGGTCAGTCCCTGAAGCTCCCAGGCGGCCGAGTGCAGGTGCAGAAGCACAGAAGGCAGGGACTCCCCCCCCCCCCCCCCCCTCCCCCCCCCCCCACCCCCCCCCCCGATCCCCACCCTCCCCTTAGTTCAGGGAAAGGCATGTGCTGAAAACCCTAAAAACAGCCCCCCTCCCCGTGTGCAGGGCACAAAGCGGCCCCCCGTAACCTCCGCCCTCCAAGAGCTCTTCCCAACCGCCTAAAGTATCTGTGTATCCATCCATTAAACCCCTCAATTCGCCCTTCCGGGAACCTCTGCGGGAAAGGAATTCTGCAGCTGTGGTGGTGAGTGGAAGTGGGTCCCTGAGCAAATCCCACAGATATGCCGGCAAAGGAAACCATGCAGGAAGACGGCTCACTTGTTCTGCAAGTCAAAGATGCGCTGGCATTCCTCCTTGTAGCGCTCCTGGTGTTCTGCCACAGAGAAGCGGGACCCTCGGGCAAACTTGCTCATGGGACCCTCGCCTGAGCGGGCCTGCTCGGTGGACATTGTCCGCACGACGTCGATCACCTCCCAGCGGGAAAGCTTCTTGATCTGAGGAAGGAGAGTCGTTGGCTGCGGAGGCCCCGCGGAAGCTCAACCCAGAGGAGCAAGCCCCCTGCCCGCACCCACCTCCTCCTCAGGGACTCCAAACTTGCGCAAGAGTTGCTTGGCATTTTTCAGGGATAAGCGCCGGAGATCGGCGTCTGTCCCTGTGACCGTCTTCTTCACCGGTTGTGGCTCCTTGTCATCCTGCTGGAAAAGGAACAAGGAGCTTCCATCCCCGTCTCAGCCCTTTATTTCAAGGGCGCCAGACTTGGCCCCACACCAGGACCCCAGCCGCTTCAGGATCCAGCCAGGAGGTACCCCGGGTCTCCCCTGCGGGCAGATGGAGCAGCCAGCCCCAGCCGGCCACCTGGGCCCTCCCCTTACCTTCTGCTGTGTCGGCTTGTTCGGGATCTTGACATAGGAGAAGCCTTCACCACAGCCAGTCGGGTCAGCTACCCCGGTGACTTCCAGGAGGCATTTCCCTTTCATGGCCGCAATGAAAGCCCGGGTGGTGTTCCAGGGAGCTGTGCGCACCTAAGCGTAACCAACACGGGGCAGAGAGGCTTGGCACGGCAGGGGGAAGAAGGGCCCCTCTAAGAGTCCTCGGGGGCCCAGCTGTTCTTTGCCCTACCTCGTCATCAATCTTCATCTGGAAATCCTCCTCGTTCTCTTCTTCGGGGGCAAAAAAGGATTTCTCTCCGTAGCCTGCATCCTGGGAAAGAGAGCCATCAAGGGGATGCATCCTTTCTCCACGCAGCGGCTGCAGCTCCAGGAGGTCCCACCTTGTCCCCCACCTGTGCCTGCCCTCCCCTCCCCTGAGGGAGGGGTGCCATCATCCCAAAGCAGCCAACAGCAGCCAGGCCAGGAGAAAGCCACAAACTCACACATGGCATCCAACTGTAAATGGGCAAGTACAGACACCAAAACGAGCCAAAGGAACAAATCACAGGGAAGATGAAAGTGGTGCCTGACCCCCAAAGTCCTGGGCAGGGCGGGCAGCCTCCGGACCCCTGAACCAGGCTCACCTTCAGGCGCTGCTCAGCAGAAATCATGCTGTAATAGGCACAGCACTGCTCCGGAGACACCATGGCTCGGATCTCCTCCTCGGTTGGCAGCCGGAAGTCGGGTTTCAGGACCCACCAGTTGGAGTCCAGCCCTGAGGAAGCAACAGCCCCCCGTGAGCCTGGCCGGGAGAGAGGAGGGGGGCGGGGGGTGGGCTGTCCTTGCCTACCAGTGCGCTTGAAATCTGCACACAGCTTCAGCCGCTTCCGGATGCTGCTCTCGGAGTGGGAAGGAAAGGCCTTCTTAATATCCTCCATGCGGATTCTCCGGGGCCGGTCGCGGCTCTTCCAGAAGAGGCGGTAGATGAAAACCTGGCAAGGGTTGCAGTGAAGTGGCCAAGCGCTCAGAGAGAGAGGGGCCTCCCCTCCCCTGCTGCGGTACACCTCCCCCTCCCACCCAGGGGGTCCCAGTGCCCACAGGAGTCAGGGCAGAATCCAGCCCCAAACTAAGAGCCACCCTGCAAGCCAGAGGAGAGCCTCTCGCCAACCGGCTCAGAACCGGCTCAGTCCGCTTACCGGCTCTTCTTCTTCTTTAGCGCCTGCGTGAGAGTTGCAGGCACGGCTAGCGGCATGGCTCCCTTCCCAAGTTATTTTTCCCACTCCTCCCAAAAGCTGCTGAGGAGGCCTAGCAGCCCCCCCCCCAGCAACAAACCTGCAGGAAGTCTCGGATGTGCGTATTGGCCCGCTTGGAGTTGGGGCCGGGGACTTCAAAGAGGGGGCACTCCTGGCCCACCACAAAGATATCCACCAGCTCCCGAATGTAGTAGCCCTGGCGCATCCGAATAATTAGAAAGTCTGTTTCAGGCATCTTGTGGAGGTAGATCGGAGCCCGGAAGAGATTGTTTTCAAACGCCTGACAAACAAAAGGCGCCGTTTAAGCCACCCAGAACAGCAACAGCAGCTCCCTGCAGACTAGTGGCTCCAGGACTCCTTCAGTTTCCTGCCAAGGAGAAACTCAAAAGCTCTCCCTCTCCTTAGCTGCATTTGGCCGGTCTTTGTAAAGGAATTGTCCACTTGAGAATGCTACACTGTCATATCAATGACTACTATGTCAATCAAATATCCTTGGGCTTTACACCCTGGTGTACTAGTTGTAGCATTTCACAGCAAGCAGCTTCTCTCTCTCTCTCTCTCCCTCACACACACACACACCCTATAGAATTGGGCAAGTGGGTCAGTCCTTGGTTGCCCTTAAGCCATCTGTCTCTAAAGAACTAGAAGTTCCTAGGCGCTCTTCCCACGGGAGCCCCTGGCTTGGTGCTGCTGCTGCTGCTGCAGCTGAAATGGGGCCAGTGGCTGCTGTTTCAAAGCACAGGTCCGCCCAGAGGCCTCACCTGGAGGAGCTGGCCAGGGTGAAGGGAGCCCAGGAAGGGGGAAGTGTGGCAGTACACCGTCTCTCCGTACTTGCAGTCCGGGGCGCCAGGATCCTTGCCCGGTTTCTGCCAGGGACAAGACGGCTGAGTGAGTGAGGGCTTCCTCGGGGAAAGCCTGGCGCTGGCAGCCCGAGCCCTGCACTCACCCGCTTGTAGTAGTTCTTGATCTTGGTGGCCATGCCAACCTGCATCATCAAGGGCCCATTCTCCTCACTGTACTCAGCCAGGATGAGGTCGCCGTCTTTGCCCGTGAGGTCCTGGGGGGTGCGCATGAAGAACATCTCCCCACCGCCAGAGGCCTGGCGCTCCTGCTCTCTCATCTGGGTGCAACACAATACACAAGCAGCCGTCTCCGCGGGGGCCGAGCGAGAGAGAGGAGCGTGGGCCCTGGGCAGGGCCACCGAGACCGGGCCCTTACCTTGGCCTTCTTCTTGATGTGCTTCAGCAACGGCTGCACTGCGTGGGGCCCAGGCTGCGACAAGGTGCCAAAGGAGTACTTCTTCAGGGGAGGCCGGTGGAACTGCCGCAGCTTCATGGGGCCCATGTGGGTGGGGAAGAAGGGCTGGCGCAGCTCCACCGCAGGGATCGAGTGCTGCACCAGAGCAGAGAGAGGCACGATTTCGGCATGTCCCGAAGAATGGCTGGGCCCCCGTCAATCACCCTCAGCCAAGGGAAGGTCCTCCCTCCACTCCCCAAAGGGGGACGAAGCTGCTCTGGTTGCCTCAAATTCTGCAAAGCAATCTTGCGGGCATGTTGTGGAAGCCGACTCCATGGTGGCCGCACGTGAAGCCTTGGCAGAAAGCTAGGCTTGCATTAAGCCCAAGAAGGCAAATAATTGGATTGCATAAAGTATTGTGCAAACCCATGGTTTAATTACGGGTTGTTTGGTAAATCAAAATTAGCAAGTGTGCCAAATAGGTGAAGCTGAGAGCTCCAGTTTGTAACCTCAACGGCTGGGTTTAGGTTACGTCAAACCAAGCAAAGTGGACAAGCAAAGCCCAACACCATCAGTTTCCAACCTGGATAATGTTGCCGCCAAAGGTCCCACGAAGGCCCTGCTGCTTGGGGTAGTAAAACTCATCATTGGAGAGATTCCAGGGATCCTTCACTTCTGGCTGAGACATATTCTGGAGTGGGGAAAAACCCACGTCAGAATTCCCTCCCCTTCCTGCTCTTATTTCTTCTTCACTAATCCAGAGGAAACGGAGCCCCTCTCGAACCTGCTGGGGCTCTTCCTTAATAACTCCTGTTTTGCCCAAGAGGATCCGGCTTTTCTTCAGAGAAGACTCTTTCTTGTTCTCCTTGGATGGGGAATTGAGAGTCATCTCTTCCTTTTCATCGGGAATTTCTAGGAGGAGCAGAGGAGAAAACTGGACCTGAAACGCTCTTCCCAACAGGCATGATATTCCCCTCTGAAAAAAAAATCGGGGCCGGCCAAAAGAGACCCCCCACCGCGCGCCAAGAAATCGCCCGCCCGCCCGCCGCTCGCGCCGCCCGCCCGCTCGCGCCGCCCGCCCCGCCCGCCGCTCGCGCTGCCCGCCCGTTGCTCGCACCGCCCGGGCGATTCCCAAAAAAATCAGAATTCCAATTTTAATCGGAAAAATATCATGTCTGCTTCCCAATTACCCCCCGTTTATGGACCATGCAAAGGCCCACTTGGGCCATCACGTGAAGAAGACCCTGAAGCCCTGAAGCTAAGAATCAGCCACCTGCCAGGTCGCCCCAGTTCACAAGATGCTTAAAGAAAAGGTTTTCTTACGGAAAAGACCGAAGACAGTTTAACTGTCACATCCCCACCAAGGAACCTTGGCATTTGCTCTGAGAATTCTGTTAAGAGGCTCACTGACTCTTCCCCTCACTCCAGTTCCCAGAACCCTTTGAGGGATCCAGGTTAACTAAAACCATGTTCTGGGAAGGTGACCAAGGCTGCCTCCCATCTCAGTTTACCCACTTTCCCCTTAAGAAACCAGAAGGCCCCAGAAAGCAGCACCCCCACAACTCCCCAGCCAGAAGGCAAGGAAGGGACTTTTGTAGATGCTACCTAGAATGATATTCTCATCGTTGGGGTCCAGGGTCAGGACCGGGGGCATCAAGATCCTGTCCATCGCATTGTCGTCCCAGATGATGTTGTCTTCCCAGCGGCCATAGACCAGCTCTTCATTGTCAATGGGGAAAATGGAGAACCATGGCTTGTCTTCATCCAGGCCTGCCGGGGCAACAAAGTGTGATAATGAACACATGACAGTGGATGCTGGCAAATGTCTCCATCCCTCCCCACCCTCCATCCATCCCATCCCTACCACTTATGAGCTCTAGGACGCCTGGAGCAGAGAGAGTGCCTGGGCGCTCCAGGCCCAGTGCAACACGGTACTTTGGGACTTAAGAGAAAAAGCAGGTATTCCTGCCTCCCCTGCCCACATTTCAAGCACACAAATAACAATTATGGGGCAAAGCAGAATGGTGAAAAAGGAGAGGGGCAATGGGAGGACCAGACCCCCTACTGACTGATCACTGCCCAAATTCTTCTTCATGCCAACCCCTGAATGGTCAGACTGCCACTATCCGGCTAAGCCGCTTGGCAGCCGATCGCCCGCGGAGACTCTCGCTCATCCAGTCACAGTTGTCCCAAAGGAGCTTTTTCAACACCCGAGTAAGCGAAGTACCCAACCAAGGCAGGGATGATTGGGGAAGAGGCTCTGTTTGCAGATCTTGGCTTGTCTGGTTCCTCCTGCGGATTTCTACAGAGCCCCTCCTGCCGTGAGGCCCTCCCTCCTCACCTTGCTGTTCAGGTAGCTGCTTCTCTTTGCCCTTGGCCATGCTCAAGACTCCTGCCACACTGGGCTTCTGCACCAAGGGAACCGGCAAGTTGAGCAGGGAACCGCTCCGGTTCAGCCCTGCCAACAGAAGGAGCAAGGAAAGGATCAGCAGGCATGGAGGCAGCAGAGCCGGAGACAGGCAGGAGGAAGGCTGCCATACCTTGCTGGGCGTTGTAGGCCGTGGCGTTTCTCGTCATGCTGGAAGGCAGCCAGCCCGCCAGGCTGGCTCGCTGGGTCTTGGTCCCTTTGTGCTTGATGTCCTCTCCATTCCAGATCACGTCGTCCTCCCACTGCAGCTGCGTGACCATCAGGAAGTGCTCATCGGCCAGCAGCTCGTCCTTCTCAGCTGCTGAGCTCTACAAAGGGAAAACAAAGGCTCATTGAGCAGCGACTCGCCTCCTGGCTGCCAGCGAGGAGGCACTGCTCTTCCTCGCAACTCACCTTCTCTTCCTCCTCCTCTTCCTTCAGCTTGAAGCCATAGTCAAAGCCGCTGCCATCTTCAGGGATGCCCAACATGTCGTACCAGAGTTGGGCAGGACCGTAGCGCCATTCTGACACTTTGGGCCTGGTGTCAGCTACTTTGTCCGCATCTCCAGTCGCCTGGGAGAACTTGGACTCCACAGGAGCCATCATGGTGATCTGAAGGATACGTGGGTGTCAGAGGGTTCAGGGAGGGAGCCAGTGGGCACATTCTCGGGCAGCCAGAAGGCCTCCTCCCTTTCCACGGACCCACCTCATCATCTGACAGACACTGCTCCGGGGGAGGGGGAGGGGCAAATTCATACTCCCAGGGGGATTTGCCTTCCAAGCCCGGCTCAGCATTGGCTTCCCCCTCCGGGAGTTGTGCCTCAGGAACTGGCTCCCGGTGTTTCTTCCTGCGCTTTCGCCGTGCACTTCGCCAGACGGATGGGACGTTCTTTCCAGGGCCGAAGAGGCGTAGAAAGCGAAGCACCTGAGAGAGAGAGGAGGGAGGGGTGGAACTGGCAAGAAACTGACTGCCAGCAGTTCAGCTGTTGGAAAGACACAAAGAGGAGACAGTCGGCTGGCAGAATCTCGGGGGGGGGGGGTGGGGACACGACACCATGCTGGATGACAGAGGCAGGGAGAGAAAGCGCCGTGGTGGTGCCAGCCATAGAGCCTTAATCAGTTGCTCTGCCAGAAGAAAAGTTCCTCTGGCTTTTCTAGGTGATGATCCGGCTCTACCTTTCCAGGCCGGAACTCAGGGAAAAGGGCAGTCACGCTGGGCAGCTGCTTGGTGGCATCTCGCTGCATGATCCCGGCAAGTGGCAGGGTGAGCTTCCCTTCCTTCAAGTCGGCCTTCCTCGAGTCCTGGGAACCCGTCTCCGATTCCGAGTCCGAAGAGCTGCTGAAATCCATTTTCTCCAAAGCGGCAGAGGAAGGAGCAATGATGGAGGGCAAGATGATTCCATCCCCCTCTTCTGGCCCTAAGAAGGGAAGGAACAGCCATCGCAGCCAAAGGGAGCCCTGCTTGCCAAGGCCCCCGTGACTGAAAGAGCCCAGCCACACATGCAGCCAACGGAATTTAACATCGTGGGGATCCATGGGGGGAAACCCTCAAAGTGGGTTCACAACAGAGAAGCACTGTAGGTGGGGGGGGGGGGGGGGATGATTTTAAAATCTTCAGCCCTGGCTGGACAAACATGCAAACCTTAAGCAAACCTTTGTAAGTTACAGCTTGGAAGTTCCTTCCTCGCCAACCCTGCTAGGCTCATGTCACCAAAGAAGTACCTGAGCTCCAGAAACCAGGGAGGGCTTCCTCCCGGACAGTCTCCTTCCTGGACTGCCCAGTCTCTCCCCCGCCTGCCCCAAAGTATATACGCACCAGAGGCTTCTGCCTCCTTCTCATCTTCCTTCTTCAATGGCACTGGTGGGGGGGGAGGGGGAGGCATCAGCTTGGAATCAATGTCTTCTGAGTCGGCATCGTAGTCATCCTCGTTGTCATCTGAGGAGAAGAACAAAGGAAGTCACTGGATCGCCCCTCTGTCACCTCCCCACGATCCTGAAAGTGCTGTGATCCTCTTGCTTCTGAAGCAAGAAGCACTGTAGGTGGTGGTGGTGGTGGGGGGGGGGAAGGATTTTAAAATCTTCAGCCCTGGCTAGATAAACATGCAAATGAAATCGCTGCCATCAACCACCTGCTCTCCGAACGGGGTGCAGATTGCCCATGGCCTGCCGGTATCTGCGGCTCTCGTCTTCAGCCACCTCAGTGATATCAGAATAATCCACAGCATCCTCCGTGCTCTTGACCCAGCCTGCAAGGGGAAAAGAGCTCGAAGCCACAGGCCCCTCCTCTTCCTGGTGCCTTCCCCGTGGAAGAAGATCCCCCACGCGAACCCCCTTGCCCAAAGGGCCCTTTGCCCACCAGCGCTTTAAGCAAGAGCGAGCAGCCCCTCTGGCCTCCCTCCCTGCGGGCAGGATCGAGGGACGGGAAAGATGATCTCCCCAGAGCCCACCACCCGACCCCCGCGAGGGCCTCGGAGGCGGAGGCCGGGGGTGCCCCTCATACCAATCCCTGGCCAGGCGGGCGGAGTGTGCGTGTCCCATCAAGCGCCCTTTCCCGCCGCGACCCTCCGGTGGAGCGCAGCCTCCTCCTCACCCTCCTCATCCAGCTGGGCTCCGTCAGCCTCGGAAGCGTCGTCTTCGCTGGCGGTGATCTCCGTGATGAGGCTGCCCAGGCCCAGCGCCCCGAGCCCGGCCAGGTGCTTCTTGGACTCCTAGAGGAAGCGGGCAGAGAGGCGGGTTGGCTCCGCTCCCTCCCTCCCTGGCAGCCCCGCCGGGGAAAGAGCCCCCGCCCGGCGCCCACCTGGTCCAGGAGCCCCTCGCCCTCCAGCTGGCCCTGCTCATTGATGTTCCCGAAGAGGAAGCCGGCCAGCGAGAAGGGCGCCGCTCTCCGCCCGCCGCCGCCCCCCGCCTCCTCCTCGCTCTCCGAGTCCGACATCGCCGCGGCTGCCCCGACAGCCCCGCCGCCGGAAGCGGAAGCCTCTCTCCCGGCGCAGGAGCCGCCACCCAGAACGTCCCTAGAGCGGCCCGTGCCGGCAAGCGCCGCCTCCACCTCCTCTTCCGGTCTCCTGGTTAATTGTTCTCCCTGGTTGTTTCTTCTCTCCTTGGTTTCCACCCGTTGCTTCCTTTGCTTTCTGCTGCTTTGGAGAATCGGTTGACCCCCTTCAAATATTGCAACGCTGCTGTCATGTCACCCCTACTCGTTCTTTTCTATTCAACTCTAGCCACACATCCCCAGTTCCCGCAACCGTTCTTCATGTTTTAGCCTCCAGTCCAGTGGTGGGATTCAAATAATTTAACAACAGGTTCTCTGCCTTAATTTCTTCCAACAACCAATTCACCAAACTGCTCAGAAAGTTAACAACCGGTTCTCCCGAAGTGGTGCGAACTGGCTGAATCCCCCCACTGCTCCAGTCCCCTGATCTTCTTTGTGGCTCTTCTCTGCACTCTTTCCAGAGTCTCAACTATCGTGGCGACCAAATTCCAAAGCATTATAAAGCGGTACTAACAATTCACAGGATGTTGATTCTATCCCTCTGTTAACGCAGCCTAGGATTACTTTGGCTTTTGGGGGCAGCTGCAGCACACGGCTGGCTCATATACAAGTGATCCTCCGCTTGAATGTAAGCCACACCCCACACTGGACTGATGGGGGCTGACGTGATCCCTCCAGCACCCCACCCCCACCCCCCCAGCACGGCTGTGGAACCCAGAGGCTGAGAGCCACGGTTGAGAGTCCAGCCAGAACCCGGGGCTCCAGAAGGATTGCGCTAAAAGAGCACCCCTACTCATCCTGCCCTCTCCCATAATAAAGAGCAGCAGCAAAAGAACCAAGAAACTGCTTTATTACAATTTCATTCAGCATAATTTAAAAATAACTCTGTTAGTTGCCGTACAAATGTACTTTAAACCATAAAATCAGTTGCCAGTGTATGTTGGAAGTACCACGATGAGGCCGTCCACTCCCTGAACCTCAACCGTCATTTGAACCAGCCCAGCTCTGCCTGGAGAAGCCTCTTTCCCCAGGGAGAGTCCGGTCCCACATCATCAGGCTCAGGCAGGAGGAAGCTTGGAACACCATTCAGAAGACGTTTGGCAGTGCCAGGGAGACCAAACTCTCATGTAACATCACAACCTGGTTGGAAACAGTTATTGCTACATACCCTGAGGATGGTCAGATGTAGGGCAAAAGTTCCAGCCCAGAATCTCAGCTGGGCAAAGGGAAAAAGGAGACTGCAGCATGGCCAACGTTAAAGCAATCGAGTGAGATTTGCGTGACGAGAATGAGAACTACACCGGATTTGCTCCTGGGCTAAATCACCAATCTCGCTGCGACATCAGCATCCATGCAAAGAGGACAGCTCCCAAGTATCACCATTCCACATTCAGGCAAAATTTCCTGGTCACCAGTGCAGATCAGGATCGCAGGCAGAATAAGAACGTGGTTATTTGGAAGAGGGGTTGGGAACAGAGTATTACATCTCAGCATTCTTCCTAAAGAGAGGCTGCTCAAAGCATTTTATCCAGGAGATGCTGTCAAGCATCCGGCTTTCCTTAATCAGCTGAAGATGCCCAATGATGGACACAATCAAGAGTTTCTTACTGTTGCAAAAAGAAACAAATTGCATGATGCTAAGAAATGTGTGTTTCAAGAAGAAAAGTTGCATAATTCATTCTAAAGAAAGCAGTTAGTATTTCAGGCAATGTTAGACTCATATGCATCTCTATGGGGACCAGGTGGCCTAGAAAGATTTAAGCTTCTACTAAATTAGTGCATCAGTTTATTAGCACTCACGCCTGAATGTTTAAAAGTAGTTGAGTTTTATCTGCAAGGGAAAAAGGAGAACAGAAGGCACACAAAATGGCTGCTTTGAAGCAGCACAGCTTTTAAAAGGTTTGATGGCCAAGACCTTATCCTGCATAGCAGGCAATTTCTTACCCTGAAACTCAATCATAATCCCGAAGGGTAATTGTGGCATTTAAGCCAAGAAAAATGCCAGTGCAGAAAAACCATCAGAGTGCCTGATGTCCGCCAGCACAGTTAATCTAGGCCTGTGTGGGTGTGTGGGTGTAAGGAAGGGCACAATGTGGAAACAGAAGCTCAGCTTTCCAAGCCTTGAAAGCCGAATACCTAATGCCAGATCCCAGAGCTGTTCCACAAAGAACCCAGCCTGATTCTTTGATTTCATAAAGACCCTCCGGGGGTTGCTCATCGCTCAGTTTGCAAGGCCTGTTGGCATGTCTGCCTGCCTGCAATAATGGAGAGGTTTTAAAAATTGTATGGTGCTTTTGAAAACTGTGACAGACCGATTCTGCTACTGGAAAGGCACAGCCCTGCTCTCCATGCGGCTGGAAAGGAAGCAACGCTGGTGTCAAAGGAAAGCAGATCAAGGCCTCCTTCCGAAAAGACTCTCTCTCTTGGGCAGAGAACCCTTGGCTTTGAAGGCACTCCCTCGCTTTGGACTCCTCCACAGAAGAGGAGGAGAGTTACGTAGGGACACACGGAGAGTTCGCCCGGAGGCCGATTCTTAAGGCTAGAGCCAATACGTTCATTTCTGTTGGCTCAAAGTGGCAGCTGGACTGCAAGAGGACTTGCTGGAAGAAAGTTCTCTTTAAAGCCATTAGTGCAAGAGGCCATTAGTTAAGGAGATGGACCGCAAACACCCCACGCCTTCAGTCTGCGCTGCCCTCGCCTTGCCGACTACAACAGCAGGCACTTCTTGGAGTTCTTCTTGGTCACTGGATAGAGAACGGCGCGCACGGCTTCTGCGAATACTTCCCTTACCCCTTCCTGGTTCAATGCTGAACACTCCAAGTATTTGACTGCCCCGATTTGTTTGGCTAGCGAAGTACCCTGCTGGGGGGTGGTAGGGCCCAGGCTTTGCTCCTTCAGCTTTTTCACGGCCTCTGCATTACTCCGCAGGTCCCTCTTGGTGCCCACCAGAAGGATTGGCACATTGGGACAGTGGTGGGAGACCTCAGGATGCCATTTGTGTCGCACGTTGGCATAAGAGGAGGGGCTGCCGATGGAAAAGCAGATCACAAAGACGTTGGTCTGTGGGTAGGAGAGGGTGCGCAGACGGTCATATTCCTCTTGTCCAGCCGTGTCCCAGAGGTTAAGGCTGACCATCCGCCCGTCCACCGTCATCTGAGCACTGTAGTTATCAAAGACGGTGGGGATGTACTCCTCCGGGAAGGCATTGGTGGTGTAGCTGATGAGCAGGCAAGTCTTCCCCACGGCACCGTCTCCGACCACCACGCACTTTATGGTCTGCATTCTTTGGCTTGCAAGAGTCCCCTGCAAACAGAGATACAAATTAGAGCAGGGGTCCCCAAAGCCTGGTCTGTGGCATGCCAAAAGCCGGGCCGTGCACACCAATTAAGCCCTGTCCACGGGATGCAGGCCCCTTGGGGTCCATGGAAAAGCCTCTCTCCGCAGAAGCGGTCCCGGTGTCCAAACGGTTGGGGGCCACTGAATTAGAGGGAAGGCAATTCATGGAAGGAGATCCTTTCTGAACAAAGAACCACCTGGAGACGGCCAGAAAGGGTCACTGGGGCTGGACAGCTTCTTTGCTGTGGGGCAGGAGAAAAGGGCGGCTTCACCTGTCTCCCGCCAGCAGCATCACCATCAGAAAGGGAACATTTGCATTTGCAGGGGCACCGGAAAGAAAATTCTTCCCGAAGAAGGCTGGGCCTACAGAACTAGAGAGCAGCAGGTCAGGCTCCTTCCAAGAGGTACAGAGACAACTAGTCTCGAAAACCTTCTACTTGATGGCATTCGACAGTTTGCTGCTCCAGCATGATGCAGCATGATCTATTCCAGCAGCCGGAGGCAAGAAAGGTTTAGAGCATGGATGGTGGAAGCTCAGAACCGTTTGGTGCTACCCGCAGAGGCCTTCGGCTAAGAAAGAGAGAACCAGCACAAAAAGCTAAGCGCAAGTTATTGCACAATTGGGCTTGTGGACAGAAAGTCTACCTTGCGAGGCCCTTGTAGTCCCTGAAAGGAGCCGACTCCCAGCTCTTCCCAGCAGACAGCCAAGCCCTCCCTCCTCGCCAGGGGGACCCGGCCCCTTTGCGCTTCCAAGTGGGGGTTGCCAAAGCAGCTCAAACAAGCAAGGGCTTGCCGGGCCTTTCTTCAGGAGGTGCCCCTTGCTTCTCAACTCTCCGGTTCTTGCCAGGCACAAAAGCGGGGGCGAAGATCTCAGGTCCCAAAGAGCCAGGATGGCCCAACCGGGCAGGGAGTCCCTTGGCGACCTTCCTTCCCAATCCTCCCGCCAATGCTAATTTCCCCCTCGAGGGACGGAGAAAACCCGCGGCGACTCCGCTCCCTTCTGCTAACCGTGGAGGGACGAATAGCGGCTCGGGGCTCCGAAGCAGAAGCCACGGCTCACGCCCAGCCCGGTTCCAAGCGGACGAGGAGGCTAGGAGGGCGTCCTTAGAGGAGGAAGCCGGCCCGGGTCCCCGGGCTCCCTTATCGCTTTGCAGCTGCCGCCCATCCGCCCAGCGGCAGCCGGCGGGGAAGGTCAGCCCCGCAGGACCGGCCTCCGCCAAGCAGCCTCCCTTCTCCTCTCGGCAACGGGCCCGGCGCCCTTTCCGCCCCCGGGGGCCTCGCAGTCCGGGGAGGGGCCCCGCTTCCCTCTCGCGGACGGGACGCTCATCCACCACGCAGCGCCGGCACCCGAAAGGCTGGCCCGGGCCGAGGCCGCTTCCGGGAGGCGGGCGGGCGGAGGGCCCTCCGTCCCAGGCGAGCCGAGGCCGAGCTGCGCCCTCCGGCCGGCCGGCCGCCTGCCTGAAAGCCGCCGCGGACCCGGAAGAGGCGGCTGCCGGCGGAGGGCCGGGGTCCCGCCGGGCTTACCTGCGTGCCGCGCGCGCCTCCCTCGCTGCCTTCCGGGCACCCCCCGCGCAGCCGCCGCCGGCCAAAGTCGAGCTGGAAGCGGCTGTGGGAAACCGCGCCCCCCGCTCCCGGCCCACGCACTGCGCATGCGGCCTCACGCCCCGCCCCTTCGAGGGGGGAAAGGCCAATGGCGCGGCTCGCCCGGGCCTGCCGGGAAGCGTAGTTCCTCTACGGTGGCCGCTAAGCCTGCCCTTCCTGGGCTCGCGCGCCCCGCCTGCAGGTGGCCGCGGGGCCTGTCCGCTGCGGAAGGTTTGGGCTCACGCGGCGTTGATGCTCGGGGGCTCCGTGCGCGGCCCTCTCCGACCCGGCGTCCCTGCGATGCCGCCGCCTTGGCCTCTGGCAGAGAGAAACGTCGCCCTGCCTGCCTGCCCGCCGGCGGATTGGAGCCTATCGCCGGCCTCGCGGGGGGCGGACGGGCGCCCCCTCCTCTCGCGGGTGTCAGGCGAGGCTGCTTTGGGCAGGAGGGTTCGAGCGAAAGGACAGCCAAAGCCCCAAAGGCCGCGTTGAATTCCAAGGGAGACGGCCGGGAGGCTGCATTTGCGCCCGGTGCCCTTGGCCAGTGAGGGAGCCCCGCTCCTCGCCCTCATGGCAGCCCTGCAAGCGGTACTGGAGCGGCCGCAGGCTTCGTGTCGCCTTGCAGCAGGGACAGCTGTGCCCTCCTGGCACAAGGACCGCTCCGAGAGCGTCTGCACCGGAGCCGGGAAAGTGGCAGAAACCCCTGGTGCCCGAGGAGAGGCTGGCAGACTGTGGGGCTGGGGTTCCAAGCGACCCCAGCGGTACCCAAGCAGCAGCAGCAGCGGGAGATTCCTGCAAAGAGGAGGAAATTTGCTGGTTTCCAGCTGAGCCTCTTCCTTCCCGACTTGGAGAGAAGGGCATACATCTTCCAGGCTGCTGGTGCCTTTTCAGAAGACGCCTTTCTTTGAAAAGCAGCCAGCAGAATTATTCTGGTTCTTTGGCTTAATGGACAGTGGAGACCTTGCTTGCATACCTGGATGCCCAGGGGATGGGGAAGCGTTCCCTTCCCACCTGGCTGCTGCACACATTGGAGGAGGGCTTGCACACAGCAGGGCAGCCCATGGCTGGCTGTGGCCCCAGTCATCACCAGTTTGTATTGGGAAAGAAGTCTGATGAAGAGCATGGCTGCATAAAGCTCTAGAGAAGACAGGAGGTAGCGTCTGCACAGTATACATCTCCCTGCGCATGCACACACACACACACACACACACACCACTCATGGGCACACTCACTAGCCGGAGGCCTGTGACTTCCTCCCATTGAAAGAAGCTGCTTTTATTTCAGGACAAGACGGGGGGGTCTCCAAGGTGGTCCTGCTCCTGCAGCCCAGAGCCAGCCCGGCCCCCTCAGTCCTCGTCCTCAGACCAGCCCAGGCTGTCGTCTGACTCCTGCAGGGGGTCGTCTGGGGAGCTGCCTGTGGCGGCCTCCTCCCGGGGCAGTGGCCGAAGGGCCTCGGCTCCGCTCTGCGGCTGCTCCAGCCTAGCCCAGGCAACGGGGCTCGCTTTCCTCAGGGCGATTTCCACCTTGGAAGGCAACAGGCTGGCGAAGCTCTTCTCCATGCTGATGACCTAGAAGGAGAGAGCCAGCAGGAAAGCCAGCTGGATCAGGCAGCCCCCCCACCCCCCAATGTCTGTCCTGGCACTATGAGGGTGGGAAAGGGCCCTGGAGCCTCACAAATGGAGGACCTCATACACACGCCCAGCCTTTTCATGCGAGCAATGGAAGGAAGAGATCAGTGGGAGTCCGGGGGGGGGGGGGGGGGGGGGGTGTTCTCAAAAGAAGAAAGCCAGCCACGCGAGCCAAACCTACCCCCCAGAGATCCAGCTGGGCCTGGAAGAACTTCTCTCCCTCAAAGGCTACCTGGATGTCCAGCTGCAAGACAAGAGGAAACCCCCTCAGCCCCAGGACCTCTGCCCGTCCTGTCCTGCAAGAGGGGGGATGATCGCAGCGCCTAGCAGGCCGCCTCTGAGAAGCAGCTGTGCCCTCGCCCCCCCTCCTTACCCCAGTGCGGTTGGCCTGGATGGAGCTGAGGTGGGGCAGGGGGGTCCTGGCATAGAGCGTCACCACCACTTGGCTGCTGGTCTGGTGCCAGTCCTGCCGACAAGAGACCAGCTTCTTGCCCTCCTGTGTGGCACAGAAAACCAGCCAGTCAGCATTGCTGCCCCCTCTTGTGCAGGAAGCCCCAATTCAGAGGACGGGGGCCTTCCGGACTGCAGCCCCCTTGCAGGACCCCCAGCAGGCAGAAAGCCTCCGCGGGGACCTCAAATGGGACAGGGGGAGCATCAGCCCATTTCCCCCCTTCTAGGCTGTCCAAGGGCACCCCCTTTCCTCTGTGCCTCCTGCTCTGCTCCAGGGAGACCCCGTTGCTAGAAGGTGGTGCCAAGGGAGGGAGAGCAGAGGATGCTGAAGGAGGCTGCTTTTCTGGGATCCAAAAGAGCTTTGCTGGCAAGAAGTCCCCACCCACCCCCCACACACACTTTAAAGCCCCTACTTTGCAGGTCTGCCAAACATACTTGGCAGCAAGGCTGGTCCCACCCCTTGCTGTCCGGGCAGAGTGGCCTCCCGCTTCCCTCTGGCTGCAGACCGGGCCACAGACAGGGCTGGGGCTGGGCACAAGACCCTCACCTGCCTGGGCACCCAGGTGTGCTTCCCTCTGCTGCAGCCCTTCTGCTCCAGGAATGCGGCAAAATCCGTGGTTTTGATTCCACAGCAGCTCCAGTATTTCATGCTGAATGGATCCCGGCCGGAGGGGGGAGAGAAGCAGAGAGCTGGGGCAGCTACTTGTTTGAGTAGTTAGGATAGGAATCCCCCCCCCCCCCCCCCCGCTGCGGTTCCAGATGGCTCACAATAGGCGGGAGAAGCCTCCCCTCGACGGCGACAGTGATTAAGACGGCAAGAACTGCAGGCAGCCTCTTCTGCCCCCTGGGAGTCGCAGGCAGCTCTTGGGGGGGGGGGGGGGGCCCGGCTGGGGGGGCCGTCCAGATGGGCCAACATGGAGGGGCGGGAGGGGGGTGGGGGAGGAGGCTGGGCCCCATGGCACCCCCCCCCCCCCCCCGTGGCCATCACAGCCGAAGGCAGGGACTTTGGGGAGGAAGGGCATCCTAGAGGCCCGTGATGCTCACCCCTCGTGGAAGACGGGCACCCCTGGGTGGAACAGGCAGGTTTCCGTCTTGCTCTCCTCCTGCTGGAAAGTCTGCAAGGGGAGCCGGGCAGGAGAAAGGAAGGATCGTTCAAGTGGTCAGGAAGAGGCCGCCCCGCAGCTGCCAGCCCCCTCCCCCCCGGCTCTTTTGGCCCAGCGCTCCCCAACTTCTCTCTCTCTCCTGCAGTGGGCAGGCAGGCTGTTTCCGCACCAGCCAAGGCTGCGCCCAAAGGGGAGGTTAGAAGCCAAGCAGCCCAATGGCAACTCACCACATGGCAGCCAGCATTTTTGCAGGCCGTGCCGGTGCTTGTCTCTGAGCTGCCCCCTGCGAGGCAACCAGAAAAGAGCAATTGGGGCCTTGCAAGTCTGCTGGAGCGCAGAACTGCAGCTGCCCCCAGGATCAACCACCCCTGCTTGCGAGGGACCCTGCCCTGCCCCACAGCCTCTACCGACTGGCCAGAGGCTCGGGACCTTCCCAAGGCAGGTTTGGAGGGCTGCAGCTTCCAGCGGTCTCCCCTGGTTCCCCGCACAGCTTCCCACGGCCGCACAGAGGCACAGTGGGGCCACCTGGGGCACTTGTACTCCCCAGTCAGTGGGAAGAGAGTGGCCACTTAGCAGCTCAGCTGCCTGCCCCCACACTGGCTTCGTCTTCCCCCCAGCAAGCCCCATAGGGTTTCCCACCGGGGCTGGCCGAGCCGTGCGGGGCAGGCTGCGTGGCCGTGGATGTGTCCAGCTTCTCCAGGACTTGCTGCAGCGCCGGGGCCACCTTCACCAGCAATGGCTGCTTGGGCTCGTCGGAACTGGAGGCCAAAGAGAGGGCAGAATGTGGGCGCGGAGGAGCCAGTTTATGTCAAGTTAGGCAAAAGGGGTGTAACTCCTTCTGCCATGCCCGCCACATGGACCAGTTCCTACAGCGCATGATGCACAGATGGGAAGGGAAGCAGATAAATGGAGCCTCCTCGTGCAGAGGAAATATACCTGTGAAAGGGAGGTCTTGGCTGCTTCCTTACCCCAGCCCAAAGCTGTTGGCCCCGTCAGGCTTCTGACCTTGATAAGAACCTCCTCACCTGGGCCTCTCCCGCTGCAGCACCTCAGCGGACTTGGGCTCCGGAACAAGGTCTGCAGTGCATGGCTTGGCCTTGGGTGGGGCTTCCTCCGGCTCCGGGGGCTTCTCGTGGCTGTGGTAGCCTTTTGTGCAGCCCTTTGGAGGGAGACGGTTCTTCGTTATTTCAAGGGCCTGCCTGGCCTGCCAGCCTTACAAAACGCGCCTTTGGAGGATGCAGTTTGCAAGGGAGACACTGAACTGCAGACCTCTAGCGGAGGCTGGAGTTTGGATGGCAACGGGACCCTCCTGCCATGCCCTGCTGTCACCCTCCCCCCTTACTCCACCTTTCCCAGATGGGGAAGGGTGTGATGTTAGGCAAAAGGCCACTGGAAGCAGAACGGCTGAGAAAGGCAACTGTGGCTGTGCAGCCAAAGCTACGAGGATGGCAGCCCTCGTCCATCTGACAGGATGGGCACCCGGCACCCCCCAGCACCTAAGCACCAGCTACCTTTATGGAGAGGAATTCAGAGAAGTCGGTCGTCCGTTTCTTGCAGCAAGACCAGCCCTAGAAGAAGAGGGAGCAAGTGCCATCCGCAGCGGTGTTGCCGTCCTCCTATCTACACACTGCCTTCCTGCCTGGGGGTGGGGGGAGGGCAGGAGCAATAGGGGCAGAACGGGTGCCTTGACATGGAGGGAGGGGGGCAGAGCAGTAGATCCTCCACTCAATGGGGAGGTCAACCTGTACAACGGCCCTCGTCCTTCTGGACCCTCCCTGCCCCACTGCTGCAGTTCCATCCATGGCTGACTGCAGGGAAACCCGGTTGAGCCCCCACCTGCCCTGTGCAGTTGGACCCCTCACCTTCAAGG